GAACACTGTTTTGGGTTATATTGGCTTAGTACAGAAAAAATTTGCATTTGACTTATTAATACTGTTTGGTCGCACATTATTTCTGTAGCGTGAATGGATCCCGGCAAAATCAAGAAAGAACCACCTTCCACATAATTCAATGTAACATAGCAGCATAACGTTGTTCTATTTCATAGGGTCATCTTTACCATCATAATACAGCGTATCAAAGTCCACTGCGGAACATAGACCTCCTCATTCCGCTTCTGATACAGCGTACGCTGCGGTCAATTTTATCCCCACAACTGCACTTCGCGCGCTGCCAAGTGCCAATACAGACATAACAGCAATGTTTATTTCTCCTCTACTAACGGCATGCGTAAACTGTTAGTTCTCTCACCTTGGTTGTGTGTATAAAAGCGTCAATCTGCGTATTCTTCGATTTGACGTTTTCTGTGACGTCACTGCTGTCCCGGATGTGAGACCTAAACAAGCATAGATTTAAAGGGTGACGTCAACAGTCCTGGCTATTGTAGTTGTAGCATTGTAGTTGTGATCTATTTTTATACAAATCCATACATCCATACAAACATAAAATTGAAGTGTCTGTTTGTAATGTCAAAATAACAGCTTTTTACTAAATGCATATGAAAGTAGAAAGTACGGTACTTATAACAAAAACAAAATTTTTGTCTGTCTGTCTGTTTGTTTTGGTCTAATCTCCGAGATGGATGGACTGATTTCGATGGGACTTTTACTGGCTGGTAGCTGATGTTATAAGGAGTAGTAACATAAGCTACTTTTATTTTAGAAAAAGAATTTGGTTTCCGCGCAAAAAAAAATTAAAACCCATGAAATCCAATCGTAATAAATTAAACGCGGGCGAAGTCGTGGGAAACAGTTAATATATTTAAAAAGTAGTGAACTAAGACATCGTCAGATGATGATGAATATTTCATTGAGATGTTATGATGGCGACATCATAGCGTGTTCTTGAAGTCATTTGAATTAATAATAATAATCATGCTTTGTCGTTTGTGTATTTGAAGTTAAAGTATTCCTACAATATTATTTATAAAATAATTAAAAGTAGTAAGTCGCATACTTATGACTTTTAAATTATTTATTATTCACCATTTAGAACTGTATCTTTGTAGAAACGCTGTTTTTCTTACTTACATTCACTTGAAATTGTTCTAAACCTGTGAAGGAGTAAGGTAATAAATACTTTGCGCTTAAAATTTGAAAATTACTTCCATTATAAGACACTTACATTATAAGAGAGCTGTAAAACTGTTAAGAAGTGAAAGATAACAATAGCAATAGTAAATAGACTCAGCATTGTCAAATACAGTTTCATTGTTTTTACGGTTCCGTATCAAAAGGAGAAAACGGAACCCTTATAGGATCTCTTTGGTATCCGTCTGTCTGTCTGTCATTACCCTTTTTCTCAGGAACGTGTGGAGGTATCAAGCTGAAATTCATATCAAATACTCAAGTCTACTGTCTTTTGGAGCTGTGAAAAAATCAAACTTCTAAGCCAACGCAATCAAAAGATACAGCCGTTTATGCCGCAAATTTTCGACATTCACATGGGAATCAAAACCTACAGGGTAGTTCCCGTGAACTCAGAATCTTAAAATTTGGTACGAAGCAACGTATTATAGCACAGATAAAAGAAAAATTGCGAAAAGCATACATTTTTAGTTACATCATATAATAAAAATATTTTTATAATTTTAACATAATAAGTTTACAAATATATTAACATTACAAATATATTAACAGTATGATCAAGTAATATTTTAGTAATTAAAAATTGCAGTTACTTTTAAATGACTTTTAAACCCACAGTTCAACTTCTATCAGAGTTAAATTACTTTGTCTTTCACATTGGTAAGTAGACGACACTAAAAATAAAACTTAAATAAAAAAAAAATAGGGAGTTGCTGGAACTGGTCAGTGTTACCATTGTTTCATTTCTCGAAGAAGATAATGGAGAACACTGCGATGGTTTCGAAGTTTAACAACTAGTGACGTCGTCCATTGTTAAGAGACCGCGTTTTTGTAGCTTGTTTATGTGTGTTTAAGTGGTAAAAGTATCTAAATTTGGTCCGTTACCGATAATAGTTTTATGGAGGTGTTGCTATAAATAATGAATTAAATGCTTTACCTACTTAACTTGTAGGTAATAAAATGTTAACTTACTTTGTTTATACATGTGCCAATTGAATTTTTTTGGTTGTTAAATCCATTGTATTTTTGATGCCAGACGAGATTACGAGTGAGAGTTTAAATGTGGACTATGAGAAATTTAAATGGTTATGAAGTCTCTTTTGCATTGTCAGATTGACTATCACTATGACAAAGTGCTGATTTGTATGTATTCTATGACATGACTGTCTCTTTTGTCTAGTGGTTGTAAACGCGACTGCTGTTTATTAAGTCCCGAGTTCGAATCCCGGTCGGGTCAAGAAAGTTAGTTATTGAGTCTTTCTATCAAGAAATTCTCAGTAACCTGCCGGAGTCACGAAGTTGGGGCGACGGTTTCAGCATCGTGCTTCAGAAAGCACGTAAAGCCGTTAGTCCTGCGCCTGAACTGTCTTCCATCGTGTCGGCTTGCAGTCCAATCGGACTATGATAATGAGGGATACCTGTGCTAGCTCATACATTCGGCCATTATAATCCTGTCCTGTGCTCATGTATTTATTTATTTATTTGTATGGATCTCCGACAGTCGTACATTGACTTACATCTAACACATGCCTTACATCTACAAATTTCTATTAATAAACTATATACACTAGTATACTATTATTATTATATATGTACTATTAATTATAGGAGAACATCATTCTAACAATAACAGTGTTTCTAACTTGCCTAGAAGATATTATCTTATTTTAAAACGGTAACAATTTTAATGGTAGTTGGGACAAAAATAAGTTTAGCGAACAAAAGATATGTAATAGTTTTTGTAACAATAATTTAAAATTAAAAATTTTGTACAACCGACTTCATTAAAAGTTATTAAGAATAACTCAAAAACTATTTGTCTGACCTTAATCAAATTCATATGGGACCATACGAGAAGTACCAGCTTTCAAATAAAAAAAGAATCATCGAAATCGGTTCACCCAGTAAAAAGTTATAAGGTAACACACATAAAAAAAAAACATACCGTCGAATTGAGTACCGTCTCCTTTTTGGAAGTCGGCAGAAAATAATATCAAGTTAGCAAGTAACAGATAGCTAGTCTCCGGTAAGACTAGCCGCCGCGCCGTGACTTAGGCCAGGGGGACTATTATTTATAATAAGGAAGTACAGAAACAGAGTACTCTAAGTACTATACTATTACGTTAATGATTATACCCCGACATTATCCTCCTGCACCACTCATTTTGATTAGGCGATTATATATGAATGTAATATGAGCATTATGGCCGAGTTCCTGGAATACCCTGGTTAGTATAGTTGTTAAATATGGGAAATATCGAATTTGAAACCCGGGACAAAAATTGTCCGACCAAGAAAGTGAATAGACGAATCCAACTCGGCTAGGTGGCGTTGGCAAAGTTACGACTCATGTTCTTGTCCACTATTTCTCGATATAATTGCAAAACAAAAATCAACAACTAGTGGCTGTTGCTAGTGATAGATAGGCATAACAAGTTTTTTTTTTAAATCTTCCGCTGTCCATCACTGCTCGTTTTATAAGGAAGCTCATAATCTCTAAGCGAGTTTGAGAACGGCTTTACTCGGAGTTTATGTGCATGTTTCGATTATATTTGTAATAAAAAATCATAAAAAAACTATTATAAAATACTTAAAAAATAAAACATATTTTACTTTTCGTTCTGACTCGATAACGAACACTGTTTACGGTTTTACTAATTAAATCGGAGAAATCCTGCTGGAATTTCTAAGTTCCGTTCGTTGAACACGAATAGTTTCTTCAGTTTAATTATAAAATGTTGTTTCCTCCTCAAATTTTAACTTTAGTAAGTGGAAGTGGAACTAAATAGCTCCTAAAACCGTTGTACCATTACCCTTTGCTTCCACTGTTTTATTAATTGAGTAAATATAAAATAATAACGTATATTAAATTATTTATTTAATAAATCACGACTAATGAGTAGGAATATCCATTATTATAAATAACACTATTTCGATTTTTATATCTTTTAAGTGGCGATGTTTGATCTCGTTAACGCCTGATGTATAATACTCATACTGGCGATGGGGAGCAGCATTAAAGGTGCGAGACGTCTGCTGCTGCGCTCGCCAATTCACCTGTCAAGCGCGGCGGTTAAGGAAAATCCATTCTTCCTAAAGTGCGAAAGTCCCCAATCTACAAATCCAGCTGGCACGTTTACGGGGTGGCGATGAAAAAAGCAATATATTTAAACGGGAAAAGACATATCACTTTTCGATTTTAGTATTCAAGTATACAAAAAAAGTCAATTAGTGACATATTAAACTTTAAAGTGTTATAAAGCCTTAAATATAAATCCATAAAATAGTTAGTTATGGTGGTGTAAAGATTTACACGTGGTTAATATTATTTTGTAAGAAAATAGAATTAGTGACATATTAAACTTTAAAGTGTTATAAAGCCTTAAATATAAATCCATAAAATAGTTAGTTATGGTGGTGTAAAGATTTACACGTGGTTAATATTATTTTGTAAGAAAATAGAATTTTGATGGCATGACTCCTCTTTCGCCCAGGAGTCCGTCCGGGCAGGTACCACCCTATTACCTATTTGTGCCACCAAGTAGCAGCGCTTGTACTGTTGTGTTTCGGTCTGAAGGCTATGAAGAGCCAGTATAATTACAGGCAATCCATCTAAGTCCTCACAGTTGACTACGCACTTTGTGTGACGTTGGCTGCTTGCATCTATCTATTTATGCATCTATCTACTTACCTTCAGGTGGACTGCTGTAAGTTTATTAATGACTTCAATTTGACAAGAAAATTGTCAGTACATTGTTTAACCGATATTATGTTTTCGCCAACAGAATTATTCACGAAAGTGGGTTTACGAATGAAGACTTCAAACAGTACCGGCCCGTGGTTTACAGCAATACGATTCAGTCGCTGGTCGCCATTTTGCGCGCCATGCCCAACCTGGGTATCACCTACGGGAACAAGGATCGTGAGGTAATAATACGTTTGAGATTAGTCTTATTTTTCTTAATTTTATAATATTTTTATTTTGCTGTATTTTGTATGTACTATCTGCGTTATAGTTTTGTAGGCTTTTGTCTTTAAGGAACTGCTGAACACAAGCCTCCTTCACAGGGAAGACATTTACCATAGTTACCATGTTGGCAGTTGTGTCGGCAACTTTAGTTTTTTAATATTTTGAATTATTATCAGAAAGATGCTGCACTGCCAAATTCCTGTTTCAGTTTCCTTCTGTCGCCTCGTACGCCATCCGCGGGTAGTGGATTCTCATACGCAGTCACTGAATTTTAAATTCTTTGCCTCTAATCTTTAAAAGTGTTTACATAGTTTTGATATTAATATACTCATTCGTTCTTAGATGTAAACTAAATCTTCACGTTGTTGATTTTGTTCCGTGGTTGATGGCAATTAGTGAAAAATAAACATAACGCCCCAGGGAAAATTCATAGTGAACTAGTTAACAAGTGGACTCATTACTAATTTGAGTATCAAAGCGTATGTTTCTGTTGCCTAAACCATACACTGCGTCAATTAGGAGTCGGCATCTATAAATATGTATAATGTTTTTGGACGCCAGTAAAAAATAATCTCGATTGCATTGCGATCGACTCGCCTAGTTTTAAGTGCCTACGGCTTCCGCGTACCACAATCATTCTACCTATTTTTAACTTCTAGCTATGAAATTCAAAGATTTTCAAAAAGTCGGGATGTTATTGGTTTCACCCCAGTTTTCGAAAATCGAGGTTTCATCAGATCTTCAAAGGGCTTCTTCAAAGGGCTTCACCAAACTTAGATTTTCTATACTATTTGAACCAATTCGAACCGGTAGATTGAGAGAAATCTCGAAAATAAAATAAAATTTCTTTTTTGAAATAAGTTTTAAACTCGAAGAACGCGGTCGATTGCTGCAAACCGCATCAAACTCGGTTGATGCGTTGAAGAGAAATCGTTAACGAAAAATTTCGAAAAAAGCATTTTTTTGTGGCTTTGGACTGCCTTAGGTTCATAGCAGTCTTACAATCAAACAATCTAGATGCCAACATTGACCCTGCTAAATGGCCTCTAATTTATAATATATTTTTCTTAAAAGAGCAACATTGACTAGCAATAGTGCTTCATATCTTGCTAAAACATTGTTTTACTTCATTATAACAACATTTGAGTCAAGATGGAGTGGGTAAGGTGCCGCGTTGATAAATGAGCGACGACCTATATGCGATAAGATCTGATGTAAGTTAGGGTGCAGTGTCTGGGACACAGGCATAACCACAACATAACCAGAATGGTAATTTCCTGTACAGATATTTGTAATGTTTTACACACATATTCTATGCTCTAGCTAGGATTTAAGCCTAGGATACGCTATTTAGCTTAGGTGTAGGTGCTCGGACCACTAGGCAACAAGGTCGTCATAATACTGATAACAAACTGCCAATCTAGCTGCCAATAATTTGCCAATCGATGAAAATAAACATGCTTTCGATTATAATCAAAAACATTATGCATTCGAATCGTTATTCGTTATCTTATTTTAGCTTGTATCGATAATATTAAATATTTTTGTTTGAATGTGGTTGATAGGAACATCTGTTGCATAAATAACGTACTTTTTGTGATACGAAGTTGTGACATCTAATGACGATTAATAATCAAAATGCCGATGCGTTGTCACCCCTGAGGACTGAGATGGAGCGCCTCGTTTCCAGTAAAAAGGGTCTGCAAATATCTACACTCACCATACGCAACACATCAGCATTCCATTAAGCTGCTACTTTACGCTGGTAATCTGTGCGATCGTGGTCCTTTCCCGGTCGATCCGACCTATTCGTGCTACAAGTTTCTTATCTTGATAATACCCCTGTTTCGTTTCAATTCGACGGCTCCGTGACGCAGTAGCTTATTAGACAATGAGTTGCAGCGCTAAGGGCTGCGGCGTGGTTTCTAATTCCGAACGGAACAGGTATTTGTATGGCTTACAAATAATTGTTCCGGATCTGGATGTTTGTCCTTGTGAAATTTATGTATGTAAACTGCCCTCACGGCATAGGAGAAAATCCTAGTGTGGCGTTATCTCCATTTTGCCATTTTTTATTCTATTTTTATTTTAAAAAAAACGTGTACAGTTCAATTCAATTTATTTATTTATTTCTTCACAACTTACTGGCTGGTTAACAATAACGATGTACATAGGATGGACCTAGCGTTGTGAGATACTGGTGCCTATTATAGGTTCACACGCGGTAGAAGTGAAAGCTTCAAATAAAATGAAAAATAATACTAACAATGCTATTAACATTACTAATATTCCCTTTAACAAGTACCTACTAGTAAGCTGAAAATGCTATGTTAGGAGTGATTAGGAGACAGTAGTCGAATGGCGGATTCGAACTTACAAACTTTTGAGTTTTCGGTCCGCATCCTGCCATTAGGCTACTGTCGCTTATTACACTGTATTCTATCTCATTTTCTCGCAGGCCAAATCCTATAGATGTATATGTTTGTCTCTCATTAGTGTCGCTTTTTCGTTTCACGAGTTTCAAATCACAACGATTTTAAAAAATAATCCTTGTGATTTCAGTTCAAAAAAATGTTATTCGTAGATATTTTCCATATAATCCACATTCAAATCACGGGACGTAATGAGGTGATGAATTCTTCTACGCCTACTTTACACGGCATATTTTCTGTATATTTTACACTTACTCCTTAAACACGTAATTAACGGTCATCTTATTTGAAATCGCAGATTCAGCAATTAAAGTAGCATAAATTTTTCAACAACACGCTAGCGAATAACATGTTTGTAATTATAAATTGAAAGTCGTATCATTAAGTGCGATACGAGTGTAATTAAGGCCCGTGTATATCAATGCATTTCTATGACTTTCCCCATGTGACGCCTTCATTAGTGGAAAAATGTTCGACATTAATAGTATAATACTAATCGATTATAATGTTGACGATTGTGTTATGAAGTCTACAGTTTAAAGCATTATGTTGCTATTTTACGCTAGTATTCTGTGAAAGAGTGAACCTACCCCGGACGAGCTCACCCATGGTATAGCAGGCTGCATCAATAACAAAGCCGCAGCGTGATTTTTTAACGTAAAATAGTTTGTTTTACGTTGTTATACATTGTAGTGAGTTATCAATTTACCGTGTGTGAATAATGACGTTTTATTACTAATAACCGAGACCATAGATTCACACAAAGCATTTACATTTTACACTCAACCCACAATTATTATTACATACGATTATTATGTTATGCATGCCGGGCGCGCTTGTTATTTTGATACTTCTTATAGTTACTTCTGGCTTATCACCAAGTTTATGGCTTATATCATCGCATCTTTTTCTCCTATTAATCCAGCTAACAGTTCACCTAACGATGAGTGGCTAGTGCAGTCTATAAACAGTAAACACCTCTAACAACATTTAAACAAGGTTTTTGTCGCATTGTAACTTGTGAGAACTACAAGTAAGATGAAATGTACCACAGTCGTCAACTATACTGGCTATTCATACATAAAAACTGGAACACAACGGTGGATTACTTTCGCTCATGACTCGAAAACTGTGCCGGCGCCTATACTTTCCTGTCTCCGGTTCTAGTTTTCAATACCTGTCCAAGTTATTATTTGTAATATAATGTAATAAATGGGGTCAATGTTATACATATATAAAAAATTAAGTTTGTATATTAAATAAAGCTTGTATTCCAAATTTTCAGTATATATATGTGCATTATCTATGTTTTCAATATATATGTTCATTATATATGCACATTAATATGTAAAACATAAATACCTTTTATACAAAACATAAAATAAATTTTTTTTTGCCTTGACATACAGGCTATTGAAAAAGGATCATTTGAAATCTCACAAAACTCACATCTCATTCATTCAATCTGTCAGTAATTATTATTTGGCAACAATTTCTACATACTCTGTACGACTGTTTGGCCATAGACTATATTGTGTTTGATATTTGCAGTTTAAAACAATGACTGAAAATGTGCGCAATATGCTTAAAAAGGGTACTAGTTATCCCATCACGTTTTAATATAAATATTATTTATTTGTATCGAAAGTACCTCTGATATCGTCTCGAAGCTTTTCATCGAGTACGGAAAACTTATAAGAAGAGTGTTTTTTGTTATTTGGCAAATTTTTGAAGAACTACAAAGGCGAGGCGGCAAATTAGTTAACGCTTGCTGAGCTGAAGCTGAAGTACTTTAGTTTTAATATTTCGATATAGTCTCATCTATACTTTTTCATTCTTTGCTTTTTTTTTTGGAAAAAATTTGTTAAAAGGAAATGACGCTGGGAACCAGGCCTAGACTATAAGGGATTGATGATGAATTTCTGAGAATCCTGTCTCTTTCAACCCTTGGCTTACCATCCAAGAGGGGTCAACGTGGAGTTATCGGCGGCACATCGGGCGTTAATTAGCCACGTTTCTTCGAGCAATAAGACCTTTAGCGTGAGGTTTGAAAATAGTAACTGAACTAGATTTTACCCCCGCCTTCGTAGAAAAAAAAATGTTTGTCTTATACTCTAACACGTACACAATCTTCATCTTCTTTCATAACGTCGTGTATGTACGATTTTATCTATCTCTATAGGTATAGTATATCTGTAAGATAAACGCGGAATTCTATCCTATTATCAGTAATATATTCCTTATTCATGAAGGGGTCTCGATGCATATTGAGAGCTCGACTGCCTTATTGTATTTTTTGCTCACTTCATTTATTATACATTCAGCTGTTTTATTTAACAAAAATATGGAACCATTCTGAATCTCTGTTATTGTTGTTAATCGAATTCAAAAAAAGGAGGAGGTAGTCAATTCGACTGTATTTTTATGTGTGTTGTTACCTCAGAACTTTTTTCTTGGTGAACCGATTTTGTTTATTCTTTTTTTATTTGGTCTTATGGTCGGTATCTCGTGTGGCCCATAAAAAT